AAGATCATTTAGATTGTGATAAGATTTCTGAAAATAGTGCTTCTAAAAATAATAATTAGTCTAATTTATAGCTATATAAAAATCAATACAGATAATCTTGTGAACAACCTTGCAATTTCGTATAAAATGTCTGATAAAAAAATAAAAAAAAGACAAAATTGCACTACCAGCAAACTATTTAAGCTTACAAATATTATTTAGCATTATCTTTCATTTAATATGACTATGTATCTTCAACCTATAGATGCTGGAATAATTAAGTTGTTTAAATCTAAATATAAGAACCTTTACTGCAAGCATGTTCTTAAACAATTTGAGTCTAATATTGATTTGGAAGAGTTAGTAAAATTTTTATTTATGTAGCTAAAATAAAATCAGATTAAAATGAAATATTGTAGTGTAAAAAAAATAGACAAACCACTAAAAAATAAAATTTTTAAAGTATATTTTTTAGAGGTTAGAGTTAGAGGTTAGTTTTAGAGTAGAGTTGATAATAAACAAGTATAAGTGGGTTTAAGAGATTAATATTTCATTTTAATCTAATTTCATTATGATTTGTAGTATTTATTTATTTTTTATTTATTTATTTTTAATTCCTATAGGAATAAGTTAAATGTAAGGCAAGCAATCCAATTTATCACAGACTTATGGTATGATGTGACTGATACAACCATTCAAAATTGCTAGCGTGCGATGGGAATCCTTCTGAATACAAGTGAAATAGAAGTAGAATATATGGATCAAAAATTTGATGATGATTTTTTTTAAATAAGGATGATAAAGTTGCAGAAATTATTTTTGATCTGTCATTAAACAATGATTCTGAAGCCTCCAAAATAGCCCAGGCTATGGAAAAATATATTCAAATTATTGATGAACCCATTGCTATAAAAGAGATACTCAATAATAATGAAATGATTGCTTTGGTTCAGGCTGAAGAAATAATCAAGAACAGGAAAGTGATGACGATGATAAAGAGCCATCTTCTCCACTATAATAGCTAAAGAGGTACATAATGCGATACAAACTATTTTGTGCTATAAAGAACAGACTAATTTAAAATTGAACCTTAGCCCAATAAATTAGAGTTTTTATAAAAATTAGGCAATAATTACAGACGTGCACATGAAAAATCCAAAAAGCAAATGCAAATTACAAGTTTTTTTTACTTCTGAATGTTTATAATCATTGCTAAAAATTGAGATTTATTAAATAAAATAGTTTGACTAATAAATTGGCTTAATTTTATATATTTAGACTTTTAGACAAACAGATTTAGCACTAACTATAAAATTCTTATTTATAGGATTTTATCATCTTAAACATCATGGAGTTGACATATAAGCATTATTATAATTGTGTTATGTTGTTAGATTTGTTTTATAATTTTTTTTAATATGTTAGTGATTTCCTTTTAAAATCTAGTATGCTATTTTATGTCTGTTTTATTGATTAATCAAAGCCAAAAAAAAACTTTATATATAATATCAGAATACATCTTTTTATCAATTTTATATGTGAAATTTTCATAATTAAATATTAGTAGAATATCATATTTTCTTTCAAATTTAAAGGTAAGATATCTTTTAATTACTGAATCATTTTTAGTTTGATTAGAACAGAATTTAATTCTTTCTGTGTATATAATTAAGAGAAAAAACTAGTCTGATTTTACACAATTTTATAATAGTCAAAAAAAAATAATTTCTTTACAGAAATTTTTTTTACAAATGACAATGAACCACATAAGAATGTGTAATAAAAAACAAATAAATAGAACATATTACTAATAAAGTTAATGATTTAGAAATTTCTCAGTATAGATTTAATTTTTATTTGTACTTGTTATATCTATCATTAGTAAGGGTTAGTTAATAAATATTTTAATATGCCAGATTTCTATTTCATAGTACTTTTTTTTAAATTAAGATTTTTATTTATATTTAATCTCTATTTTTATTGTATAGCTGTTACTGATCTCTTAACATTATAGCTGATATGACAAGCTATGTATATATATTCATGATTTATCAATATTGGTTAATACAGTAATATAAATAAGATTTTGAACTAAAACTTTTAATGATAAAAAGCTATTTGTTGTAGCAAAAGAATAGCAAGAGTGATTTATGATTTCATGATCTTTTTTATTTATGAATTTATTGATTATACAGAAAATTTTAAGCTATAGCTTTGTTGCAAGTCACTCCTGTTGTAATAAACTCTTGATATAATTAAAACTTTGATATAAGAAATTTAGGCTTAAAACTTTTCTGTATAAAATTCTCAATATGTTGAATTTAATAAAACTCTCGATTAAGTATTTAAGTTACAACCCAAAATACATTACAGGTAATAATAGTAATCCTCGAATATATTTCAGGTCTGTAATACAAATTTCTTGAATTACAAATCTGATTTCAAGATTAAGTGTAATGCAAATATCTGTTTTGTCAAAAATCGTGAATCTATATAAAAAATATTCTAGTACTTGAAAGTTTTTCTTGTACAATTTTATTATATATTTTGTTAATATCTAGTCTCTGCATAAATGCTATCCTTAATACTAACAAACTTTAAAATTTTTTTCTGTGCTCCAAAATTGGCATATATTTAAAAATTGTACACTAATATCTATTGTAGAGATTATTTATTTTTTTTTTTTTTAGTCAAGGCTAGCCTCTTTGGCTTTGTACTTTTTATTAGATATACTAGAGATCACTAGTTGCTACTGAAGGGCCACCAGATATAGTACAATTTGACGAGAATATACATAGACACATATACAACTTTAGTCATTGCCTATTTAAGAGCTTCGCTATATTACTATAGTTATTCTCCATATACCATACCTAAGATCCGCTTGTAGATTCCCTATTTAAACCCTCTGATCTTGAACTATTCTATACCAATCCAATCTAATCTTACCTCGGGCATGAGGTATATAGTTATTCCATACCCTCCGGATCATCATCACCCACCTATAGAACAATCATTTCTGGTACATCCTCAAGTGCAACACCTGCTAGAGCAGTCCGGTACCTACTGTTCCCGTAATACCTAGTCTTTTCGGTAACTTACGCCGAGTCTGAAGACAAGTACTTGTGAGCCGAGGCTGCTACCATTACCTACTTAGCCCTTATAGAGTTAACCCAAATCCCAGTACTCTTTCAAGTCAACTCGGTACTTTCCACTTTCAGTATCACCCTAGTTAATTACCAATCCAGATAGCCCGGAAAGAACACCAGTTCTCTGGTATTTGCATGCAGATCCTTTTCCTCTAGTCGATACTCTAGTAGCCTGGTTAGTAGAGTACTCTTGCCAAATACCTAGTTCTTGTTTGGTTATATTAATCTCAGGTATATCCTATTCTAGTAGTACTGTCAAAGATCTGTATTATCTTTCTATTCGGGACTTCCCAAGTGAGCGCCCTACCGCTATATCGGTCCTGTGGCTTTCTGCGATCTGAAGATCATTTGTATAACTTATACATCACACAAAGCCCTGAGATCTTCTAGTTCCGATGAATTGGTACGATCACAGTTATAGGGTCTCGAGTTTTTCTGGCCACGACGATAGTTGCCGAATCCGTTTTTCTAAATTTAATTTTTTCATCTTCAGTAGGAATTGAACTTGTACTCAACTGCTTGGGAGTGTGACAACTTCACCACTTCACTAAGTCACCACACCCTATTGTAAAGATTATAGCTACATAGATGTTTTTTATTAAATAGCAATAATTAGATAATATATAATTTCTAATTATTGTATTATTATAGTGCACTAAGTATATATGCTATAAAACTATACTGTATATTATAAATTATAAAAAAAATTATATAAAATAATTATATTTTAATATTTATTTGTTTTTATATAATCATTACAAATAATTAATCATATATTTAATAGCTTTATAGAAATAATTTTGTTTAGTTACTTCTTATTATAGTTATCAGATTTTTGTATCCCAACTGGATAACTATAAGGAGATATATCTGTATTTTATACCTAAAGTTGTTGCATAAAAAATTTATTAATAATAGGTTTTATGGCTAAAGGTTTGCCAGATAATCTTTATATTTTACATGTTTTATACTTTTCAACAAATTTATCAACCAAACATCTTTTTACACTATGGTATTTATTTGATACTTTTGTATAGATAGCTCTAGCACCTCTGTATCCAATAGCCAAATATTCCTCTGCAATAATATAGTATAATCTTTCTTTTAAAGCTACAGGTTTTCAATTATTTGATGATTTTTTTTTATATATTCATACTGATTTTTTGAGATGAATAGTTACTTTTAACTTGGTAGTATATATTAGGGTTTGCAATAGAAGTATTTTTAGGATCATTTAAAATTTGCAAATATTCATTAGCCATATTCTCTATAATTAATACTTTTGATCTTTTTTCTTGCTTAAAGATTGTAATATTCATTTATAATTTCATCAAATATTTGAAATGCTAAAAAGCATACAGAACTCTTTCTGCTAATCACTTGTACACAAACAAACAGAAAACAAAAACACCAAAACTCAACAAAGACCATAAAAAACACCCGATAAGGCCTTAGGAAAAAAGAAATAGCAACAAAAACAACAGATATCTAGCTTAGAAACAAACAAGATCGAACTTGCAACAAGAGAAATATTCAAGAAAAATGAAAATTTCAAAGAAATTTTTGACAAAAAGTGGGCAAACCACTTGATCTTGAACACAGATCACTAATGGTAATACAAAAACAAACAAAACAAACAAACAAAATGTGTAAACCAAAAAGACAACAAACATGTGTAGCAACTGACTATTTTAGAAAAACTAAACAAACAGCAAAACACGTGTCTCAACAGACGGTTCTAGAAAGATGAATTTAGATAATCAAGTTACACAAACCAATATGAGAGAAATAGATATATATGATATGGGCCTATTAGGACTAGTCATATGCCGTGCAAAGCCAAGGCTAAAACACATCAACTATGTGTTCCTGAACAGATCTTTACAAGAAGTTAAAGAAAAGAAACCAGATGATATAGATCTTATAGCAGCAATCTGTATAGCAAAAAAACTTAATGAAGAAACAATTAGAATATTATTACTATTTGGACAAGTAAGAGAAGCACTACTGGCAGTCAAAGATAATATCCCAGACAAGGTATTACAAAGCTGATGAGAGAAGGTTAGGATGCCCAAATTATACCCAGGGTCTATTAACTATATAGCAAGTATGAGCTTAAAAAAAATAACAAAAGAAGAGAACAAAATGGAAATCGTAAAAGAAACCTACTAGAAAACTCAAAAGTGATAGGGAAAAAGTGACGAAATGAAGAAGAGAAGAGAAAAAAAACATCAACACAAGCCAAAGAGACTGAAATAGACAACATACAACAACAAATGCAAAGGCTAAAAATAATAGTCAAGCAGCAACAAGAACAGGTTATAGCTAAACAAGAAGAGATCATTTTGTTGTCAGATGAAAAAAATGAAAGAAGAAAACCAGGAAAGAAGCACAAAACAACCAGTGAGAAACAAAAAGAGATGTGAGCAGAAGACAACAAAATAGAGATCTATCAGGAATTACAAGGCAACGCAGAAGTAAGCACAAGTACACAAAAAAAATCAAAAAAAAAGACCTGATAATTACAGAAATTCTACTAAGTCAAAGTATGTGGACACCAAGCAGAAGACTTTGCAGCAATATAGGCGAATATAAAGCCAAAATACCGGCATATAACATACTAGGAGACAATAAAGAGCAGTGAATCAAAATGATCAAAAAAATGTTAGCTGGCAATAAGCATCTTAAAGAAGTCAAAGAAATATTCGTAAACTATAATGAGTAGATAGAAGTCACCTTCAACTATGAAACAGGGAGAAGAAAAGCAATGAAGAAAATAGAAAAGAAGAATCGAAAATAGTTTAGAATAATACTAGTAGAAACACAGCAACCAAAGAAGAAAAACAATACCTCTCATAAAGCCTCAATTGCAGACA